AAGTGCCTATTTTTTTTACATAATTCGAATGAGAATCATGTACCGAGTATTCTCCTTAAATATTGATAGTAATTCACCAGTCACCCTGTATATTGTAATTCAACGTACATATATCTCATGTAACATATTTCTATTATGTATATTTGTACAAGACTCGGTTATGACCATTGTTATAGTTTTGATGTAATTTTATGAAAGTACCTATTTTAATTCCTACAAAATATATTTACACATCGTCGTCTATTTATCACTATTTCAATTTCAAAGACAACATCAAAATAATATTATCTTTACTTTAGATTACTTTGGATTAATTAGAGAATTGCTTATAAATTTGATGGAATTAAAGGTATTCAATTTAACGAATGACTTAGGTATAACTATGTTTCTACATTTGGCGCGTTTTCTTTAGTTTACCTGTACAAGTGGTGGTCATTATCACGAGTGATATTGTTCTCCTGCATTTTCATTTCATAAAGGATTGCATAAGTGGTTGTTTATTTAATATCTTTAAAGTACAACCAAGAAAAAAAACATGAAAACGGAATACTTGTCAGACGATCTGTTGGACGAGGGCCATTTAAAAATGTTTACGCCTTTTCGTTTTTTTCAATTAATTTTTGGGTCCTGTAGAATAGATGCAAGAGATAGATTTGTTACAGCACCGACATGGGGCCAAAAAGCTTATACAGTCATAATTTTAATCCTAGCTGCAACTTTACATGTTTATATAATATCTTATAATATCTCACAACTTTATGATTATCCAATCATATATTATATATGCGTCTTGTTTACGCTCCTGAATTTCACTATATACGCTTTGAATATTATCCATGTTAGATTTATGAATAATGAGAGAAATGTGAAATTCTACATTCAGACTCAAAAACTAGACCGCAAATTGAAAATTACTGATAATAATCCCTGCAACATTTTTTTATATTATGTTAATCTTTACTCGGTAGCATTTCTAATTGTTTTGACTATAACTATACTTTATTTAGTGTACATGTATAGTATAGGATTATTTGTTAGCTTTTCTGGTCTCTTGTTCTTATACCTTACTAGTTTAATGGAATGGGTATTTTGCTCTAATATTATTATTTATTTTTGCCTTCGCCTCCGCTTCATTAACGCTATTATGAGGAATCATTTGAAAGGATTGCCCATTGCAAAAGAAATGAATTCCAAATATTTCTTACCTACTAGAAAACGTATGCGTTGTGTTGTTGCAAACATGCACGAACTTAACATCAGTGAAACTGATGTATATTTAAAGGATATATTTGATGTAATATCTCTATTTCAAGAATTATACAGATTTCAGGTAATCGTCTTTGCCTTATTTTACATTAATATCTTTAAAATTAGGAATCGATACTAGAACTGCAATAAATAAATTGTATTACAGGTTTTACTGTTCTGTTTCAAATTCGTTCTAGCAGCTTTACTGGTTTTTGAATTTGTTTTATTGTCGATGCAAAATAATGTAGGTATTAATTTATCTATTAAACTTTTCTTTTATGGTTAGACTTGCTCAGTGGCCGTTCGTGCAACTTATGACAATATAATTACTTTCAGATTCTGCGCTGGTTAGAATTTATACTTCTTCCCGCTCAGATAGTCATGGACCTTATGATGATTGTTGTATTTTGTGTTCGCTGTGAGGCTTTCAGCGTAGAAATTCAAGATATTAAGCGACTCTCTACTACGCTCTTGTCAATATATCACGAAGGTATGGCATTTCATAAAATTTAAAACGATCAGTAAATTTCGTACACTATATTGCAGACTGGAAGATAATTTTATGAAAAGTTGTGAATAATATTAAACCAATTGTTTTATTTTTATTTTTAATACCTACCCTAATCGGTTAAGCCACCACTATGTACCTACAATTGTACAAAAAGACAACATTAATGAACAAAGACTTTTATATACTTTCGAGGCATTGTTTGTAGTCTAAATAAAATAAATACCTAACAGAGTAAACATACTTGTTACTGCAATACATTTTTGAAACAGGATCAATTCATAACGCTTTTGCAACGAAACTTATTTTAAAGGACCAAGATAGCATTTAAGTAAAGTTTTTTGTGTGAATCTTACTCATTTACTATTAATGAAAAAATACTAATCCATTTTTAATTATTATTTGGAAGATCTACAACATCTCTTCAATATACTTTTATAATAGAATTTGCAATTCAGTGGTTTACGATATGTACTTACATATGTATTATGTTTATTATATTTAAAATTTCATTCTAGTAAATATTAAGCTTTATGGTATTATTTTGCCCTGCATCTTAATTCAGCTACACCTTGATAAGCTTAGTTAATAAATTCATTAAATATTTTTTTGTAATCCACACATGAAATATTATATAACGTTTAAAATATGGCAGGGACACCAAGAGATAAGGCGAGGAAAATTTTACAATTAATAAATGAAAAACCACCCCGTATATCGGTTTATGACATGTGGAATATGGACGCCTCAACAATGTTGAATATGATGAACGTGGTCACAACGATTCTTGTCACTCTCTTGCAGTTTGCTCTTCTTTAATTATATTCTAAAAGTTTGAATTGTATTTCGTATGTTAGTATTCATCTATTATTATTTATGAATATATTCTTGTATTCATTTAGAAGAAAATAATTAGATATTATATTATACTTTTAAGAAAAAGTGTGTACTTGATACTAATAAGGTATGTACCTACTTGTATTGTTAACGTTAACACTAATAAGATATTCTTTACCAACATGACAAACTGTTACTTCAGAACTAACGTATTTTTTAGATAAAATTATGTATTTGAGACCTATACAAACATACCTACATTTTATTGCATTACTACTATTATTTTTGTTAATTCGATACAATTAAAAAAAAAGCAATAATATTATTTAATGTATCGGATTCCATAATTTTTTAATAATCACAAATATTAAGAGTTGTGTATACATAAATTATACATTATTTTTTGGTAATAAAAAACAAAAATAAAAGACAAGCATAAAATACACGAGAGTTTAAAATATTAAATAGATATAATATGATAATTTTTAAAACATACATTTTATAATTGACATAACATGAAAACTATCAGAATATTATAACATAGCATGTTGTTATTTCTAAATTGTATCAGGAATATAGCCTTATTAAGTAAGAAACCTTAATTATCCGGTAATAAGAGTTATGGAGTAAAGTGTGATATAAATATTTAAGAGATATGAAAAACTTCTACTCAATATGTTACAAAACGCCCCCTCCCCCCCCCCCTGCATATCGTTTAGTTTTATTTTTGAACCTAAAAACATCAAGTTACTTATACAATTATCTACCTTTACTTCTATACGTTTACCATTAAGTGCTGAGGTCGTCGGTGCTTATCAGATGGCAGAACAGTCAACTATAAGCACTGCGGTTCGAAGCCCGAAATCACTGTATTTTGTTAAAAAAACGTTAACGAATAAAAATTTCTTTACCCGTCAAATAATTTGGGCACGACAGTAATTAAAAATATAAATTAAATATATAAAAAGGCTTTCATTTAACCTTTTCGAGTAATACTTAATAAATTTATTATTCCCTGTTAATTGATAATAAAACACAACCTGTAATTATTATGATAAGTTTATTATTATAAAAACTCCTAATCAACAGTTATCAATATTTGCTCACTGATATCTACATCACGAGTTTTAAGTACCACGGACACTCACAACGTCCGGCAGCGCCAAAATGGCGATCATTAAACAGGGCCAAGAATACTTCGACGGCATCCAGTCCAGTGGTATAGTTGGTCAGTGATGATACATAGCAACACCACCTGTAAGACATTCATATCTCGTCTGCCCGTGATCGCAGATGCTGAAAAGTAGCCGAAACGTCAGGAGTATGTAATTAAAAAATAATAAAAGCACGCGTAGTATATACGAAAAACATTAGTCTCATTTAAATGAATAAAACTCGCGAAAGTTAGATCTCATTATTATTTTACCTCTTAATTCATCAAGTACTTCCAGTTTAGCATGACGTTGTGTTTTTAACATACATATACATACATTCTTAGGGAGGTATATACAAAGGTGGTATTTAATCTTTTTGATAGAAAAAGGATCAAAACGTTTGTGTTAGTGCCTTGTGTTAATATGTTATATTATGATATTTCTATTATTCTTGTTGCTGTTTTATTTATCTGTTAAACTTACAAGACAAGCCTGGACGTAATATTTTATAAGCACATACCTATATTTAATCATGAGGGAATTTTATTCAATTGTTTGTAACCAGTTAACTATTCCAAATACTTTTATGTAGGCGAAAATATCATAGATACGTATTGATGGATTAATTTGTGTTTTTAAAAAATTCTACTTAAAACTTACATTCTTTTTAATGGTGTATCATACACCATGTATGTAATGCTATAAAGTGGTTTAATAGCTTTGCATATATTTTATTAGAAATTTGTCAACTCTTATCTAAAACTGTCGTTTTAAAACAAAACCGCGTTCAATAATGTCCCCTAAATGAAGCTGAACATAAACCACCGCACGGATATTATAAAAAAAATGATTTCTATAAACCACCTCAACTTGGAATACAGCACTTCAGTATCGTGGAGACAGTATTATAATCTCCAGCTTTATAAGTAGTATTTTTAAATGACGTTTTCGTGCATATGTGCGGTTAACCTACAGGCTACAACGTTTGTGTCGTATGTGAATGACAGTCACCAAAAAATCAATAGAGAGCCGCCTTTGAGTTTATCGTTATTGTCCTCATGCAAGCTCTTTTTCCAAATTTACAGTGGCGAATCACATAAACAGCTCAAACACCCCAGAGAAGGAGATCTTTTATGGAAGTAACCTGTAAAAATGCTCGCAACAGTTGATACCACAAGTGTTGCAAACTATATAGAGCTGACGGGACTTAGGCTCTGAGTCGCCAAGTCCTAACCCTTATCGTTCCATGCTCTTCACCGAGGTCCCTCTCTAAGAGCATTCATCGCCGTCTGGGACACAGTGGTGGCAATGCGCCCCGATGTAGTATCTGGACTTTTGTTCCTTTTCCTAATGCTCATTTTACCGCTACGGAAATGGGGATACTAAATTAGGAGGAACGTTAGCTTAATTCCGGCAGTTGTCTATAGTTGGGAGCTAACACTACAGAAATCGCAAAGAACCATTGCAGTGGGGGTAATCAGGGTGTACCATACAAGACAATCTCGTTCATTGAATACCTCTAATAGCGAGTTCACTTCCCTAGGTACTCCAGGCATAGGTCCTCGCAGCAGTATAAATTGGCAAGAAGCCCGTGCTAGTGGCGAAGCTTGAGGACTGCACAAATAAGGAGCCCGACCAATAAGTGACGTTTGCCAACTACTTAAAATATAAAGAAAAGTTAAGATAAATTGGATCATTTTTTTATTCACATTACATAACACCAACAGTCCAAGAGTGATGACCAACTTTATCAGCTTATAGAACTAAAAAAATATCGAAAATAAAAAACTTGTATATCAAATATTATTTATTTCTTTGTATTGAAATAGTAAAAAAACTTAGCTAGCAATGAGTGGACGGAATGCTAATATCACTTATTAAGAACTACTATGGACTTACCACTAAAAATAATAGTTGGTCTATAACAGTCAAGTAAGCAAAGAATGTAAATATTACAAGATAATTTTAAAAAATTATTCCAAAATATTACTTTATCATTTAATTATATTCAGTTGTTATAAATAGCTCGAGAAACAACATTAAAAAAAATTGTGTACATTTTGATGGAAATATTAACATAATAGAAAGAAGCAAAACAAAATATTACCAATATAACCTAAAAGATTGCAATTAGGCAATCCTCATTTCAATCTTATATTAGACTGGTTTCAATTAAAAACTTCAATGGTATATTTGATAATTGTCAGACATGAATATGGCTAATTTTTTCAACTATTATGTATCTTAAACCGTAAAAAAACTTTAAAACAAATTAAGTCAAAATTATTTCAATATAGACAGAGTTGTATTACATAAAAGTAAAGTCTACTTTGAGCTATTAATATATAAAAATTACTCTTAGGTACCAATTAATATGTCATTTACTCAATAAATAACTATGTTGCCATATTTTAGGCAATCTAACAACCACAATCACTTTAATCTGAATTGCAATTACCCTGCAGAGATTAAGAAGAATTCTATATTTGATATCAAAAACTACATAAAAGGTTATAGGGTACATTGGAAAAACCACATTAATTGGTAATTATTATAAGTTAATATAGAACTATTTACTTAAAGTAATGTTGATAGTAATTTACTTGTTGTAACCAAGATTAGAAGTCTCAAAACTTTATAAGTGTGAATGGATATCAGAACCATGTTTTAATTACACATAAAATTGTCAGAGCCACTGCCATCACAGACAATCTATTCAGTGCCGCATCATTGCATCTGTGGTCCAAAAAACAAAAGCACCAAGTTGTCTCATCATACCAATCCCTGGAAATTTAAACATTTGTATTGTTATTTAATGAAAATTAATTTGACCAATTAACTATCTTATTTATGATTATTTAAGGTGTACTTAATATTGAAGTACAAATAACTATTACCTTTTGATATCCAATTGTTTTATAGAATTATTAACATAGTGGGCTAATGTTACATCTGGGACCGCCGGCCGACAGCCCTCATATGTATCTGCTGGTATATCTTTTCTGATGGCCTTAAAATTGCTAAGACAATCCCTTGTAATAACTTCCTGAGCTGAAATTTTTTTATACTTTGTAAAATTATATAACTAAAAAAAAAATTAAGGAAAACACTATTCACCTCCTTTTTTTTCAATAAGTTTAACACAAATATCTTCCCGATCTGGGCATAGGCTGCCTAAGTAACCAATTCCTCGCCAGTTAAAGGGCTCCATACAACCCGGAGTAGCTGGTGTGCACTGATAGCACCATATCGCGAAAACTACAAAAACACTTGCGTTTTATATATCATTGAATTTAGTTGAATTTTTATATAAAAATACTTTTTATGTATAGGACTCCAGTCCGAATACAATAGAATCACAATTCTAGCTTCAATGTAAAAACGCTTGCCACACCCTAATGTTTTGAAGACGGTTTAAAATTTTCGTTACTCACTTTCATTCCAGCATGAAATTAAAACAAAAATTATAAGAAGTGACTTCATATTCACAAAATTAAAGAAGCCGTTTAACTGGTAAATACTAAATAATCAAAATAATTGTATTTTGAATTTGACATATACCCAGTGACGGCACAAGTTTGAAATGAGCGGTCAATTCATAACAGATTAAAATGTTTATTGATACAGAAAAACTAATATACAATTAAATATTTGATTTTTACTTTAAGTATAATTTAATATTTATTTATATTTAAGAAAATTTAAAAGTGCTCTTTTGCTGCTTAAAATATAAGAAATCCTAGATTCGTTAGTTTGTGCAAAAAATAATATAATTATATCAGAATTGTTTAAAAATGTATGTTAACCAATAATAAAATAGTATACCTAATATATTTTAGTTTAAAACTTTACGACTTCATAAAATAAAAAAAAAATCATTATATAATATCAAACATGGGCGATCTTTTTTTTCTTATTTTTAAATTATTTTATTTCTTCTTGTTTAATATGAGAAGATAGAAAAAAAAATGTACATTAAAAATCGTATTCAAAGAGCAATATGGAAGTTTTTGTATGTTTTAGAATAAACATTCATAGCGTTTACAGAAACAAAACATAATTTAAACAAACTTGTAAAGTGATTGTATGTAGTTTATCTTCTTAACTTTTTGAACTTTCTTATATTATGGTTTTCTTAGTAATGATTATAAATAAGAATTAATTTATAAGAGGGCGGCTAGCTTTTGTTATAAATATATATTTTGTTTTAAATAAATAAAATATATTTATTATCTGTATTCACAACAATTTTATTGTTATTTTTTGTTTTCATTGCTTATATTTTACTGCTGGTCTTCCTCGGTGTAAACTGCTGCTCTAAGCATCATTATATCGTCGGTATTAAGATCAATGCACATTGTACCGACAACATCCTCAACGCCTATAGTTCCGTCATTAGTTATGTCGACTTCTTTAATTAAATTATCCACCAGTTTTTGGGGCAATTTATGTCCTTGTTTGGCAAGAACTTCCTTTAAATATTCACGATCAACAGTGCCTGTTCTGCCAGGATCAAAAACTTGCAGGGCCGAGCGCAATTCCTCTTCAGCCGGAAAATCTCGTTGCCGTAAGATCACCATTTTTAAAAATTGCTCGTAAGTTATATGTCCTTCAGGGTGAGGTGGTCTTACACAAAAAGCAATTAACTGATGCAACTGTTCTTCAGTATAAGTCATAACTAGAAGACATTTTAACATATATACCAATTCTTTTTCTGTTATATAACCGTTTATATCAGTATACGCTGGTGTGTAATTTTGATAAAACTCCCAAAGTTGTTCAACTTCAGCCAGTTGATCGGGCCTTAATTGAAATGGAGTTTTTAATGCTTCTTTGGAATCTGATAAATCATACGGCGCAGCTGGGTCTGGAGGTGGTTCCTCAACATATGCTTCCTCTTCTTCGACTTGCTCCTCTTTCACTGGTTGTTCTTCTTGCTTTTCTTCACCTTCTACCTTCTCCTCTCCTTGTTCACCTTCTAACGCTTCGCCCATCAACTCCTCTCCTTCTCCTAGAACTTGCTCTTTATGTTCGCCTTCACCTTCTACCGTTTCCCCTTCTATATGTTCTCCACCAACCTCTTCACCGAAATGTTCTCCAGGCACGTCCTCAATACCTTCCCCATGTACCTCTTCATTAGTGGCTTCATTTTCTATTCTATTGCCAACTTCCTCTTCCAAACCAACAGCAGTCTCTGGAGTCTCGGTCCCAGTAATAGTAGTTTCTTCCTCCATTGTCCAACTTAAAATTTTGCTCAGTGTCCAAGTTTCTTTACATTGAATACACGTGAATTATATCATACCATGAATTTGTCTTCACATTTGCGTTTCCGTAATTGTGCCCTTATTATATGAATTAAATTATCAGTAATTCTGTCATATAGATTTAGACTGCCTATGGATAAAAAATCAAGAACATCAATAATATCTACGAAAAGTTCATCTCGTATATTATCTATAAAATCGAACATCGATTATTAAAGGGACTGTACAAAATGCAGAAATTGCTATTTTGACATTAAAAATACTTTTTATTGGTTTAATCAAAAAATTGTTTCATCAACGAGGTATCATTATGATTATGATGAATTATATACAGAGAGATTTATTTAATTAGAATTTTGAAATTATCTTCTCAACATTTAACAATTACTAGTGATAAAATTAAAATATATTTATGTAGGTATATTAAAAGTGGACCTCACACGGTTGTATAAAAAATGGCTCTATAAGAAATATGAAGATGAATTAAGGATTACACAAGTTTTGACTAACGTGAAGGTATCACCTTTGAGACTTTCATATGATATCCTAATCACTGCTTTCTAAAGTTCCAAAAATCAAGATGATTCTAAAAATAAAACAATAGATTTTCATTATTATACAGGAGCACGACAGTTTAATTGACAAAGTAGTGAAGAAGTTATACCGCGAAAGTCCTTAGAGAGTCCTTATGGTGGATATCTTTATACTACTTTCTACCAAGTAAAATAATAGACACCAAAATTATTTACTGAAATAATAAAAAAGTTAAAATAATAAGAATAAAAGCATGATTTGCTTATATTTATTGCAGTTCTATAAATGTAAAAGTTAACTTCATAGACGTATCACCTTCATTGCTTAATAAATTAATTAGGTGTAAGCTGTGATTACGCAATATAATATTATGGGTATGCAAATATATGTGCTATAAAATTCTAAGTTTTATTTATAGAAAATGATTTTTATATTTACAGCAGACTTAACTAGGAAAAGATAAAAGAATATTAGAATGCTTACATACTATCAGCTTCTTAATGGATTATTTTACATAATTAATCGATCCAGGAAATTAAAAGCTTCCAGCAAAAATTTATCCTTAAATAATTTTCCGTTTGATAAATAGGTCCAGTACTTTAAATAGTGTTCACAGTGAACTAGTCTACTTCAACAAAACGATAGAAATGCAGAAAATCAAGTGGCAAGCACACCAAATCAAAGTTCTATCAAGGAATAACCGCAGCGAATAATTAGCAATCATTGCTCAAAATCGATTTCAGACCACATGATTGATGCAGTATTTTGAAGCCAAAATAAAAAAAACTTCATTTGATATCCATCATAAGAATTCTATATAAAATTCCCTAACAATAATTAAACACTTTAGGCTGCTTAATAAATATCAAGAAATAGGTACATAATTCGTTGATATCTACTGACGCTTTCAAAAGGAATCACGTGCTTTGGAGAAAGATGTTTCGCGCCGGCACCATAGTGAATGGCAGGTCGCGGCTGTTCAAAACAGTCTATAGCCGAATCGCGCGGGAACTACTCTGTCATTTGAACGTGGGCTGCCTTCGTTAGACTTTCGAACGAAAAACATATTTTTAACCAATATTGTGATTTAAGTGCCAATATTTTGATATAAATATGGTGAGTCATATACCTAAGTTTAAACAATTGAGACTAAGGTTTACATTATTTTATATTTAACTTAAAGAATGAACGTCTTTATTATGTTAAAAATAAAATCCACCCTAATTTGCTTAAATATAATATTTATTGAATCAAAATCAAAATCTTTTTTTTTGTATTGTTCTACTTTCTTTTTTCTACATATTATAAAATTACGCCTCTCAAAGATTTTAACTATTATTTATTTTTATTCTTATTTTCATTAAAATTTATCATACCCCAAATCTGTAAGTTTTAACTATGTATGTATGAAGATTATTTAGAAAATATATATAGGATTGTGTAATGACGAACCTTGTTTAAAATAACCTTTCTTATTAAAAACAGAAGAAAAATTGTAACACAAACGTCGATCCGTATCGCAGGTATTGTGTTCCAGTCTAAACAAGACTTTCTCATGTAATTTTAATGAACAATTCTTAATATAAAATACACATGTACAACGGTTTTTATTTAAAAAAAATACATTTACAGTTTGATTCAATTCTACATATATGTAATATAAGTAAATATATATATTATATGTACAAGAATACAAAAAAAACCGGAAATGTATTTATAATATTTATTTCTATCCTATCTTTGCTTACTAATATTTATAGCAGGTATAAGATAATGTTAAGACAAAATTAATTTAGCTATATTTTTTTATTATGGTTAGTAATTAAAGCTTTGCTGCTTTGCCTACATTAAACAATTTGTTTGTTGCATCTCCCGTCTCGTCGCCGCTATTTACTTACGGAACATAAACTTCTTTAAGCGTCAAGTACTCTCGCAAGCATAAACAATTTAAGCATAAATATTTTTAATTCTACTTTTTACTCTTAAAAATGTTTTAACTATAATTCCGTAACAAACACAATGTACCAAAAAAGCTAGATAGCCACCCTATTTTATTTTATTTAATAGGATAGCATGTACAAGTGTAGACTTGTGCTACCGGACACTCGGGAGTTTAATGCGATATTTTTTTCAAAAAAAAAGCTAGCTAACTTTCTAACATATAATTCCCTAAACCTGTAATATAATCCCAACAGTGGGCCAAGGCTTCACCTCTCATCCACAGATCAGCCACAAGGCCATTCTGTGGTTTGTAATACAAAAATTACGTTGATACAAGTATTAAGTACTCGATTATTCTATGTGTATCATTTGTACACATTGGACAAATATGTGGTTTTTGAATAACAATTGTGAAACTATTTGAGCTTTAAAATAACATGAAGTCAACGACGTTGAAGGTTCAAATATGATTATTTTGTCTGATATAAGTTAAAAAAACATATTCAATAATTTTATCGATGAAACTGTAGACAACACTTGTAATAACGTAAGTTTCTATGTATTTTTTTTAAACAGTTTAAAAAAATATACAAAAACTAATGTTTCAATTTTCAGAATATTAATATCGATGTATTAATATTCTGAAAAACTTAAATATTATAATTCATGCTGAAATCGACTTACTTTCGAAATATTTATAAAATGAATAAGTAAATTTGATATAGTATATACATATACATATACATATATGTAGTAGGCAGACCCTGGCTAAAGCTGGGAAATTGGCAGAAAGAAGAAGATATACATATATATATCGTCGTGTATTTGGAAATCAAATACATGTTTTTAAAATAACAAAAAAATTCTTATATTTCTTTTTAGATTAGATTTGTGTTCAAAACATTTTTGGAACACGTTATATGAAATCACTCATTATAAGTAGGTTTTATACGTAAAGATGTATTTCTATTTCCTAAACCCTATTATTATTCTGTTCCTATAGTCCCTATAGCAATGGCCTTCAACACCCTTATAGATATATATCATAACATGTATTCTTCCCATCAAGTAGAACGTCGTTCCTACATAACATAACATAATGCCCTTCATGATTCTTCAAACATTTTGAGATTACAGAAAACAAACATACAACACATCAATATTTACACTTCATGAGTGCCTAAAAATAAACAATTCGATGATATAAAATCAAAACAAAGTTGTACTCGTACGTGCTTAAATATTTGATTCGTCTCGATTATTTTAAATTAATTAAGTAAATATGTGAATAACCTTAAGCTTAAGCTAGGCCGGTAGAACTTATGTCATATGTGTAAGGAATCTTGACCATTTTTGACGTGATAACGTCTTTAAAATCGTTTTAGTCGGGTGACATGTTCAGAAACTTGTGTCACACCAAAACCTCACGAGCGCGATCGCAGGTATAAAGAGAGAGAGACGGACCGATTTCCCGTCTCATCTCGAGCGCTGCCAGTCATTCCGTGAAACTTGTCACGCGGAATCCTCACGAGCGGACGCAGGCATAGCGTTCGAGTGAGTGGACCGATCTTTCGTCTCTCTCACTCTAGCGGCATACAAACGAATGGAGATTTTCTCGTGCGGTTAAGTTTTCGTTGAATGTTTTACTTCCCAAAAACTTATATCACCAATAAGACGTTAACACGTAAACATCTCAATCGTAAACCTACTTTACAAACAACAAATTGTTTATACATATTATATTACATATATATACATACATAACATCAAGTCAAGCAGACAAAAGAAAATTTCGTTCTATAATAAACCTATATACAAGTAAGTATTTTAGTTAGGTACATAGTATTTTTTAATAATAAACCAATTAAATCCTTTTTTATTAATTCAACTAGTGTAGATATTTTTTAATACCTAGTAAATTACTTCGCCAATAAATGAACGGCCTGAAGAGCATATAAAAAAATATATTGGAAATTAATAACAAAATGTATATCACGCATAACGTGATGATCCTTGACGTGCCCATCGCAATTACATCGTAGCCTCGTTATTGTTTTTATTGTTGGCACATTTTTTTGGTTGCCACCAATTAATTAATTGAAGCAGTACAAAAAATCTTATACTACTCACATCCGTTTCGAAACGGTATGATAGTAGTTTAAGATTAATTTATTTATAATTATCCTTTAATTGATAATTGTATATACTTATGTAATGTGACATGTATATTCGTTTAACTGGAAATATAATATGAATATTATAAAAGTATATATTTTTAATGTACCAAATCCAATTTGAACGGAACTCATAGGAAGGTCAACTATAATGGAACTGAACTCATCAATAGAATGCTCTCATTGTGTTCATTGCACGACTATTCCATATATTTATCAACAAAGTTGAGTTAAGGAAAAGTTTAACATATAAAAAATATAGTTACAAATGGAGCATGTAAATTATTAATAATTCAAAACTCTAACCTATTATGTTAACCA